CATTAATGCAACTTTTGATTAGATTGAACTCTACCATACCTATCAAAAAGATGTGTACCATCCAAGAACAATATTGGTCTACATCCCTCCATAAACCCTTTCCAACAAGCATAATAAGACACAAATACTCGTGTAAATCTTCCATCCTCATGCTCTAGGTGAACAATTGATCCCGGATTAGTTTCTATAACTTTATCCTTATACCATCGGAGTTGGTCATATGAAAATTTAGTATCACCATACAACTCACGTTGAGCTAGCTCTTTTCCCCACCAAATTCTATGATAAGGGATGTCCAAACCAAATTCCATTTTAAGCTTCTTTTGAAAATCAATTGGGCGATAAGTGGGTTGTTCCTTCAATATGGTCTTGAGCTGATTAGCATTCCACTTACGAGATGCCCGTTGATATCCTTCCTTTCCTATGCCTCCTCCCAAGCAACTATGAGAACTATATATTTTTTTCACATAGAATCGATCATTATCTCTACGACGGGTGCAATGAACCATCCATTCGCAGTTTGCGGCCTTGCATTTTGCTGTCACCCTTTTGCGTTCATTTTTTACAAATTCAAAGTTAAATCCTCGTGCAATAGAGTAATTACTTAAACTCCGCCGACAATGTTCAACATCATCAAATTCTTGACCAACACTTCTAATAGCATTGTGCCATGCAATAGGAATCATATTAGAGCTCTCAACTTCCCGCGACATATTTTGTGAATACGATGGATTTTGTGAATGAGAAACATGATCATCACTAGAGGGGATATACGGATTACTGCATAGAAAATTGTACAAGAGTTAAGAAAGTGATAATGTTAAAAGTACGAAACTATATCAAAAGTGTAAATTACCTTATATGGACATCGTTAGCTTGTATGCCAAATAATATGTCTCGATTCATCTCAGCGTTCATGACAACAACATTCTCCTTGCAACTTCGATGTACATTGACCATTATCGAGACATCAACATCATCACATACACGAACATATATTTCTTGCGTGTGGGGTACTTTGTAAGTCAACTGTATCGTGCTTTCACTACAAGCAATTAGGCTTTGCACTGCAACGGCCAAATCTTTGTAACTCCCGTTGGCATTTAATTCTAAAAAGTGATTGTTTCCTCTAAAATCCGTCAATGCACAATACAATTCTTCATCCATCTATATTTGTTACCAAAAATAAACAAATTTAGAGAAAAATTTCATCAAAGATAGACACATAAAATCAATACAGCTAAAATACCGCTACATGATAACGTGCTATCCTTGTATGTTAACGTGTTATACTTACATGATAACGTGTTATACTTACAGATTAACGTGCTATACTTTCAGGTTAACGTGCTATACTTACAGGTTAACATGCTATACTTACAAGTTAATGTGCTATACTTACAGTATAACGTGCTATACTTACAGTATAATGTGCTATACTTACAGTATAACATGCTATACTAACAGTATAACGTGATATACTTTCAGATTAACATACTATACTTACAAGTCTTGTATTTCATGCTATACTTACATGTTATCATTCTACACTAAGATCAAATTTAACTAAAATATCATCAATCAATTATATACAAATTTAACTAACATTTAAATATAGGTTAACGTGCTATACTTTCAGGTTAACGTGTTATACTTACAATATAACGTGCTATACTTTCAGGTTAACGTGTTATACTTTCATGTTAATGTGTTATACTTATAATATAACGTGCTATACTTTCAGGTTAACGTGCCATACTTACAATATAACGTGTTATACTTATAGGTTAATGTGCTATACTTACATGATAACGTGTTATACTTTCATGATAACGTGTTATACTTACAATATAACATGCTATACTTACATGATAACGTGCTATACTTACAATATAACATGTTATACTTACAGGTTAATGTGCTATACTTACAGTATAATGTGCTATACTTACAGTATTAATGTGCTATACTTACAGTATAACATGCTCTACTTATATTAATATGCTATACTTATAAGTCTGGTAATTCATGCTATACTTACATGTTATCATTCTATACTAAGATCAAATTTAACAAAAATTTCATCAATTATAACAAATTTAACTAATATTTAACTAATTGTTATGAATTCATAACAATAACATTTTACTAAAAATAATTATGTGAAATAACATTATGTGAAATAACTAATTATGTGAAATAATAATGTGAAATAAGAAGTGCAAAATAATTATGTGAAATAACTAATGTGAAATTAATGGGTGGTTAATTACAAAACCTCAGTTATCTAACATTTTACTAAAAATAACGAATTAAAATTTTTTTATGAACTCATTTAACTAACTTATCAAATAATTGTCATGGTTAAAATGAGAAATTAATGCTAACAACTTGGTAGTTGAGTAAATTGCAAATTTCTACCTTCAAATGCCCAGAAAGTTGGTGAGAATTAATTGATGGGTTGTAGGAGAGAGTGATTAAATGATGGGTTATAGGAGAGAGTGTTGAGTTCTATTAATGGAGTGAGAGAAAGGGAGAAGAAGAGGGGGGCAGAGAGAGGACGGAGAGAGAATGGAGGGGGGAAATTTACCGCCAGTTTCCCCCCTCTCTCTCCATTTCGTTTATTTTATTTAAGGGGGACCCACTTAAATGAATTCTATAAGTGGGAGCGTATGACCGGAATTTAAGAAAAATATATGGGGGGGCCCACTGCTGAAAGTATTGTATTTTGGATTTGGGTTTAAAGACAAATACAAAAAGAAATTTGGACTTAGAGATACAACTAATACTACTTGGGTTTAAAAATAAAGGGAGGTAAACTATTGGACCTAAAGACAAAAAGCCCTAATTTTTAAGAGAGCAATGCATTATGACAGATTACTCATATTATCAACTTCTAGGCACAATCGCTTACTTCAACTGCTGGGTACAAATATGACGATCTAGGGTTTCAATGAAAACAAGCTATAAAAGAGAAAAGTCAAGTCAGAGCCGATCTAGGGTTTCGATGGAAGGGGGAGAGAGAGGAGTAAAGGGGGAGACCGAAACCGAGAGAGGAGAAGGGGAGAGAGGAGAGATACCTGCGATGGATCGAGATCGAGATCGAGATCGAGCTTGAGCTTTGAGATCGAGATCGAGATCGTCGGGACTTTGACACGAGCGTGAGAGAGGAGAAAAAGAGGAGTCGAGGTTTTGAAGGGTTAGATTTCGTGGGGTGAGGATTTGGCAAATACCAAGTAGTGTGCCCAAATTTGAAATCCATACTTTTGGGCTTTTCAAATCCACTGTATAAAATGACTTGATTTAAAATCATGGCCTAAAGTTGAGCCCAAACACGAAATTTGGATTTGAAATACCCAGAATTTCAAATCCAAGCCCAAATCAACATTCCCAAACACAGCCTTAACTTTCAAATTTTTAATTTCTTTGTTTGATCTCGTGTATATTTTCAAGGATATTGAACTCAATTGTTTTTCCCCCAAAAAATGGAAAAACTTTAAGAATTGGTTTATGTGTCTCACTAATATGATGGTTCATGTTTAGAAATGATAATTTTATTGTTTTATTTGATGAATAATGCTGACAACAATATAATTTTCTTGTTTAATCTATACATTTTTTCCCCTTGTAATGTAGAGCTAGTATAAGTTGAGTAGTACAGTTATCACTACTCTTATTTGATATTATTTTGTTTTCAAGATAATGACTAAAGAAAAAATCCATCCGTTTTGTCATGGTCCGCATCTCAAAGTATAGGATGGACACGTGAGTAGAGTGGCAGCATGTACACAAAGTTCAGATCGTTGGAACTTGTGTGCGCACGTATAAGCCTTTAGAAAGACGAATTAACTCTATCAAAATCGAAAGGATAAAATTTGTCACTATCAACTTATAGACAACAAAAAGACGATAGCAAAATCATTATTGGTAACCCAAATAAAATCAAGGCTTAATAGCACTTAAATACCCTTAAATGTGCCTAGCTTTGCACTTATATACCCTAAGTTTTATTTTCTACATTTATATACCCTAAAGCTATGTTTGGTTTGAGAGAAAGGGAGAGAAAAGAAAAAGAAAGAGAAAGTAAAAAAGAAAGGAAAAGAAAAAGAAAAGAAAATGATAATCCTTTTATTGTTTAGTTAGAAAAAATATTGTAAGGAAAGTTAGAAGAAAATTCATAAGAAAACCATTTTCTCTTGTTTGGTTACTTTTCTAAGTAAAAAAAGAAGAAAATTATCACAATATAAATGAATTCATACTTTTTGGAATTAGATTTAGATTTTAAATAATTAAGAAGCAAAAACACAACCACAATTCCACTAATTAAAGAACAATTCTCACACATAATATTAACAAGCAGAAGCACAACCACAATTCCACTAATTAAAAAACAACATTTCTCACACATAATATTTGCAGAAAGAAATGTCAATGAAAGAACCAAAACAAATCTAAAGTAAATGTCATGATATTCCTAATATAAACTAGAATCCATTTCTAGTCACAAATTCTATTACAATCAATTTCATAGAAAATCTTAACCAACAAAGTCTATTACAATCAATTTCATATAGAAGATCTTAACCAACAAAGTCTATCTATTACAATCAATTTCATATAGAAGATCTTAACCAACAAAGTCTATTACAATCAATTTCATATAGAAGATCTTAACCAACAAAGTCTATTACAATCAATTTTATATAGAGAATCTTAACCAAAGAGAGAGAAAAATATGCCGAAGTCCTTAGTTTTTGACTTTAGTGAGCTCATCAAGACATCAATCTCACATCTTTCATCCCCTAAAATTAATTCAAATAAAATTTTAAATATTCTAGCCATGTGTAAAAACATGGACGTCATCGGAAACTAGCCCTGAAGGTCACTGGGTTAACTCAGAGGGTCAACAAAGACAAACTCAGGTGGATCAGTGAGATAAACAAAGTCAGGGGGTAATATGCAAAAGTCCCCAATTCAGGGGTTAAATGGGAGTAATCCATTCTACCCGGTTCCTTCTCTCTCATCCCCGCGACCGATGGCAGCTCTTTGCCCCTTCTCTTCCCCTTCATTGCCTCAGTCCCTGTCGAAACTTCTCTCTCAATCCAAAGCCCAACCCCTCCTCCTCAACCTCCCAATTCGAAACCCTAACCCTAATTTCACTGGAATCACCTCGAAATTCCACAACCTTGCATCGTCAGTATCTTCTTCGTCAACGACGCCCTCCACGTCAGCATCCGCGGGAACGGAGTCCCCCTCTCTCGGCAACATCACCAGGCCTGATTTCCCAATTCTTCATCAGGTAGGGTACTTTATGAAAAAAAGTTTGGAATTTTACTTGTATTTTGGATGCAAAGGTTTGAGCTTTGAGCAAATTTGTTGAAAATTGTAGACTGTCAATGGCTCCAACCTGGTGTACTTGGATAACGCGGCGACTTCGCAGAAGCCCTTTTCAGTTTTGAAAGCTTTGAATGAATCTTATAACTTGGATGGGGTCGAAAACCTGAGGTATTTAATCCCTCCTTCAGTCTGATCCTCATTTTCCATTTCCCGGGGCTGTATTCGTTTGGTACTTTGTTTTATGTCATCCATGCTTAACATCTTCGTTTCTTGTTTTGATCAGTGCAGGTACTACAAATGCATATGAGCTAGCAAGAGAAAAAGTTGCAGCTTTTATCAATGCGGGAGAACCCACAGAGGTTGTGTTCACACGGAATGCAACTGAAGCCATCAATTTGGTTGCTTACTCATGGGGTCTCTCAAACTTGATGTCTGGGGATGAGGTGTCTTTTTAACTCATTCCTGTAGAGTTTAGCCCTTTCATGTTTGAAGTTTTAAGTCCATACGGTTCTTGTTTACGCTGAAGTGTGCACATTTTTTTCCATACGGTTCTTGTTTACGCTGAAGTGTGCACATTTTTTTGAATAATCCCCCCCCCCACGCGCGCGCCCCCCTTTATCTATTGTTTGATATACTTACTAACTCAATTGTTTTTCTTAGATAATACTCACAGTTGCAGAACATCACAGCAATATAGTCCCTTGGCAGCTTATTGCCCAAAAAACCGGTGCAACCCTAAAATATGTTGGTCTTACTGAGGAAGAAGTTCCCGATATTGAGCAGTTGAAGAAACTTCTGTCATCAAAGACAAAAGTTGTTGCTGTTCAACATGTCTCAAATGTACTTGGTAGGCTGCAATTTAGCCAATTCTTTTGTTTCATTTTTTTAATTTTTGGTATAGTTATTTGTTCATTGTAAAAAAGTATATAGATTTTTTCAGGGATGTGGAAATGACGAAATTTATAGTTTGTGTTAAAAAGATGAGTTTGTACGAAGGGAGGCGTTTTGCCTTTTATATTAATTCTTTATGTTAATTCTTATTTGTATTTGAACAGAGATAAATATTTTATGAAATTGTGATCAACCAAGGCACTTTTTATATGTACCGATTGAAGTATAGGAACACAGGTGTTTTGCCATTTATAGGTTCCGGTTGAAGCATTGGGAAAATATGTTATTTTTGGTTTTCTAGCTCTTTGTGTACCTTAATAGTGAACACATTGTCCTATGCAATATCTATCAGCTTCTTCATTTTTTATTAGCCAGGAAAACTTGGGTTCTAACTTGTGTTACCTTAACGGAAAATCAGTGGGGTATATTTTTCTCATAGATTTTTCTCACAAACTGGTCATATCGTATGAGCTACATCTTGGCCCTCCCTTTGAAGTTTTCTCCACCAAGGGTATGGCACCTGCACTTCTTGGTATGAGATTTTATACTTAATTGTAGAATTTGGTCATTCTTTCGAACCCTTGTAGGTCATAAATGATTTTGTTTTAACGAGAAAGGCTTAGATCAAGATGTTAATGAGATGGTGAAGTATCTGCCTTTAACCATTACTGATTGGATCAATGATCTTTATTGTGTTTGCATTTTTGAAGGCATTGCATATTCGCTCATTGTAATGTTTTCTTGTATGTGCATGTGCAACCATATCTGCTAATTTCTAACTGCAGTATAATCGTGTTTATGAATTTCTTATATAATTCCAATTCTGCAAATGCCATTTATGCTAGCGAATGTTTTATGCTGAGTTTTGGTAACTTTCTGTTTCTTTTCCGTGCACGATTTGGTGTCCACCGTATAAGCTTATCATAAGTTTTTGAGCTTCAAGGAGAATCTGGTATATATATGTGTGTACATTGTAACGAGCCACACCAACTACACAGTTAGTACAAGTATTTCGTGAAATCACCAAATATTTGTCTTACACTTGTTAGATACTGGTTATGTAACATATATTTTTTTTGCTTCTTAACACCGAACTTAGTTCAAGTTTTGTGGACCCTAAGGTTTGCGAATTTGGATTGGTATTTGACTTGTCTTCGGGTTTTATTGTAATTTATATTACAATAAGAATAGTATTGAGCAGTGGTAATGTATGGTAGCATGGTTAGTTAGAAAGTTAGAAAGAGAAAACATGTTTTATCATAAGGTTGACCCATTATGATCTAGAGTCGTGGTTCAGGATCCCCGAAATGGGCTCTTCACAGTGTGATAAAGTTGTGGCCATCTGATCCTCTCATTCGACGTTGAGAGTATTGTGATAGGCTACCTGTTGACCAAGGATGGTAGAATATTTCAAGGCAGTACATGGACATGATATATGCAATGGGGTTATGAGGTAGTTAGCTTTGAATTCTTTGTGCCAAAACTTTAGTTTGTTTCATATTAAAAGTGCAATAGTTTGGTCCAAACTGATTTGAGATGTTGATGAAACTTCAAGAATGTCCAGAGGCAAGGGATTGAATCAGTTTCTATTTTAGGGAAGATAAATACATTCAATAATTTTTGAACTAGGTTTCTAGTACCGTCAAAAGGCAGTAGAAAATGAGCCTCCAATTTTTGCAAACTTTCTAGTATCATCTATTTTTTTCACATGCAGTGAATTCTGTAATGACATCACGTTTGAAATCTTTTTCTGCTTAGCAGTTATTACGCTGAAATATAGATGTTTCTCTTATTTGTTATTATATTTAGACAGTCTTTCATTGATTAACGATAAATTGTCGTATGAGCAACTAACTTGAGATTTATTATTATGCATGGAAGAGTCAGTCGCCTTCATAGCTACAAACTAATTCAATCCTGTTTGTTCCTGTTGTTGAGTTATTAGCTGATATCCCTCAAATTTAAGTGATCTAATGAATGATTGCATTTAATGGAGGTCATTTTGTTTCTATTAGGTCTGTGGAGATTAGTCGACTAAGTAGTCTCTGCTAGAAGTCAACGCCCTATGGGGTACTCTTTTTCTTATCTATTTGCTATCTGTAGACATGATCATGCAAGTGAATTTTTCCATTGCAGAGGGTGTATCACTCAATTGCAATAGAGCCCGTGTTGCCCAATTTGTGCGAATAGAACCCCTATAGAATTTTTTTTTGTTTTCTCATAAAGAATCGAAAGAGTTTTGAGGACGTGATATATCCCTTGTAGTTCTGTTGGTGAGTATAGAGCCCTAATTGCTAATTTTATTCTTAAAAGAGTCGATAAAGTTCACTGAAGTGGTCTATCCGCACAACTAGAACTATAGGGGCCTCTCTGCAACTGGGTGATTGCAGATGGGGTCTATTTTCAACTAGCCCTTTTTAATTGTTTGTAGAGAACAGTTGTTCAGGATTGAGTGTTAACAAAACACATCCAATAATTTGCATAATGGTAGTCAATGGGGTATCAGAGTGGCAAGTTCCATCTAGTCTTGGGTTCAAACCTCATAATTGGTAACTTCAATATACTAGTTCATCCTTATTTGTTCTCTCTTTCCCATTGAGTCATATTTATGATGGAGATCTTTCCATGTGATCCAGTAACACACATGATGGGGAGTTAGTGTTAAATTAGCTTAATACACATATTAGCCTACAGAACTACTAGGTTAATTTTTTGTCTAAAATGATTATCTAAAATATAAAAAAAGGTTTAGATAATGCGATTTGCTATATGGAATAACATTTACCAAGAAGGTGAAAAATAGGCTACAGCCCAAAAAAGAAATCATTTCCCTGCATTACTAATGGAAACTTTATCAACAGAGGCACAGCTTATGGCAGCGCCTAACTTCCTTTTATAGATCTCAGTGAACTTTGCTAGGCACATGGTTGACTCGGTTGGTTGTTGTTCTCATGCTTGTATTATATGCCGTAGTGTTTCTTTCATTCCTGTCAGATTAATTTTTTTACTTATTGATTTACTTTGTTTTTGTGTTTACAATGCTATTTGAGTTTGTCGATAGAACAGCAGATGCACTAAGCTTTTTGTTGCTTTAATTAAAAGATTTAACATATGCGGGATTGGTCAACCATTTGAAATACGTCTTATCCCCTGTAGGTTCTGTTTTGCCTATTGATGAAATTGTTGCCTGGTCTCATGATATTGGGGCAAAAGTTCTCGTTGACGCTTGTCAAAGTGTTCCACACATGGCAGTTGATGTGCAGAAACTTGATGCTGATTTTCTTGTTGCATCTTCTCACAAGGTATGCCTTAGAAATTCTCTAATTTCAGCCTTCACAGGTTACTAACAGGAAGTTGTGGCTGTCTCAGATGTGTGGACCTACGGGTGTCGGATTCTTGTATGGCAAAAGAAAAGTTCTGTCAGAAATGGCGCTATTGGGTGAGAATATAAAGTTTTTACTTATGTGAAACATGCATTAATGCTGAATTTCTTACTGTTCCCTTGTTTTTCTAACAGATGGTGCCAACATGATTTCTGATGTAGATAACTCTACTGCTGTTGAACCTTCTTCCAGGTTAGGGAAATTCTTCTCTTTTTGATAATAACTGTCAAATGTTGTTGTTGTTATATGTCCGCGCACCAATACAGGCATACACGCTGGATACGAGCTGCCACCTAATTTAGCAAAATGAATTACGAAATGAGAGAAGTGCTGAGATCCACCTCATGCATAAGTCCTCTCTTTCCTCTTTGTCTTCACCCCTCTATCAAACTCCTTTTCACAGTTGACTCTCCTTTGGCCTTCTCCTTTACAAGATTGTCACCACAGTTGACTCTCCTTTGGCCTTTTCCTTTACGAGAACGTCACCGATGCCAATAAGGATTTCATCTCCCATTTCCTCTTGTCCTCCTCTGTGTGAACTCCTCTTCCACTGCCAACTTCCCTTTTATTCTCTGTCGAAGATGAGAACTATCACCGATATCAATAAGGATACCGCCTCACCTTCCTCTTCTCCCACTTAATCAAGCTCCTCTTCCATCATTGACTCCCCTTACCTCCACTGACAATGACAAGTAACTCAGTAAGGCCTGTATTAATTTTTAGAAATCTTATTGAATATTGCAAATCATCTCAGATTGTCTAAAATTGTTGTGAATATTTTTATATTGGAAAAATTGTGTCAAGGCCCCGAAAATGAGAACTACATGTGGCCTAACCCTGTGTATTAATTCCATGTGGGTTAGCCCCTAAAATCATCAAAAATTGTGGCCCAGCCCCTAAAGCCATGTAGTACCCCATATGTATATCACCCTAAATCCCTAATTTATCCTTCTCTCTCCTGCCTGTCACAAACTTCCGCTGCCATCTCTTCGTCGAACTCCCTCCCTCGTTGCCGTCGATTCCACTACCAACCAAACCCACCGCCTCAAGACCCTAAATTTACTCCGCCCCCATTTTCCCCAAATCCCATCATTATTTTCTCTTCCACATTGAAACCCTATGCATCCAAACCATATCCCTAATTCTCCTCCGCTGCCATGACCGCCATCGTTCCCCCCCCTCGCCACTACACCATTACCAAAGAAAATCATTATCTCACCTCTGCCTCTTGTCGTCATGCTCGATGTACCGCTTGCACTGCTGCCATTCCTTCTCCATCCTTAGCGCTCTTCACCATCACCCTCGCCAGTCGCCACGACCCTACACCCATCCACTCGATTTGCTCTCTACCCTCCACCCTCTCCATAATCTCATTGTTTATTTGTCATGCTATTTGGAATTGGATGCTTGGATTTCAAGCCCTTTGATGAAAATGTACATTGAGTCATGGACATTAATTAGGGTAATGCTAAAAGGATGGTGTTGTTGCAATTGAGGAGATAAATGTGGTTTCTTTGAACTATGTTTGGAAAATTGCTGAAATATAGGATATTAGATGATGACAGGTTGTTTGATGAAATGCCGAAGAGAAATGGTTTCTTGGACTAGTATGATCATATTGAAGGTTAATCATCTGCTGAAGCTTTTGATATTTTCAAGAGGATATTGACTGATGGCATTGTGCATAAGTTGAGAATATGATGTTTTTTTACAAGGGCATCCTATTTGGTTTTCTTTTCTTACAAAAGGAAGATTGGATGTTAATGTTAAAGTTTGGATGCTAAGATTACCAGTTGTATATTGAAAAGATTTCTTTTTTACGGAAATCAATAATGGGCATTTCATCTCCTAAGAGATTAAGCATTTCACAAAATAAAATTGGCATCAAGAAAATTATAGTGTACCTATTAAGGTTATGGTGTACATGTTAATAGTCACATACATGTTGAGGTTAAGTCGTACTTGTTAAGGTTATTATGTACTTATTAAGGTTAAGGTATACCTGTTAAGGTTATGTCATACATGTTAAGGTATAGTGTATCTGTTAAATTTATGGTGTACCTTTTAAAGTATAATTGTTAAAAGTGATAATTTTTATAGAATATTTAACTATTAATTAACCTGAAATATTTTAGATATAGTCATGTTAGCTCTAATGTTGCCGATTTTTTCAACAACTAAAATGATTAAATTCAACAAGCAAGCTCATAAGTGGACTGAAATTTCTTTTATTTCTGCATGAAGCCGCTGATCCAAATTCTCATTATTAACATACTTAAACAAGCATTCTAATTGTAAGCACAAAACTCAAATTAAAAACTCAGAATTTTGCCTGAATTGAAAACTCAAATTGTTAACTTCAGGCTTTTATGTGTGATATTTATGTGACTTGTTTGATTGGTGGTACATTAATAGCCAAAGGGTGATGTGGTTTCTTAGACTATGATGGTAATAGGTCACGTACAAAGAAAATATCATGGAGACCTCGCTATGTAGTTGTGTGTATGTGATCAAAAGTAGACAAACAGATAATTGTATCGGTTTATTGTGAACTATGAAGGATTAGTTGTGAATCTTACCGAAGGAAATTTTGTAAATTGTCCCCTAAAATTTCTACCATTGCAAATAACCCCCAATGATTTTCTCAAAAAATCCCCCAAGCAGTTATACTCTAAACTTAACAACCAATGAGTAAACTTATTGACCAATGGGTGACCTTAATAACCAATGAGTAAACCTAACAACTTAACAACCAATGGGTAAACTTGACAACCAATGTTCAACTCACTGTATAAACTTAATTTGTTATGCTATAAACTTAACATATATTGAGCAAGGTTATCATCAAATAGGTAAGATTCACAACTAATCCGTCATAGTTCACAATCAATTCATACGATTGTAAGTTTGTGTAATTTTGATGTTTACATGCACAACACTACACGGCGAGATCTCCATGAAATTTTCTTTGTACATGAAATGTTATTATCATAGTCCAAGAAACCACATCTCTATTTGGCATTTCATTAAACACTTTACAAGCAATTTTCAAACTGCTACATATCATATAGCCATTTAACATATTACTTTAAGAAATGAAATCTTACTCATCCATTTAAATTAAAAATAAATTAGGCAAGCCCCAGTTTACCACTAAGAAGTAAAATCACATAATCCAATCAAGGGATTTGTTTGAGAGAAATAATGGAGGAGAGAGGAGAGGAGGTTGTAGGTGGTTTTGAGGAGGGGGATTTGCTCGGTGTGTAGATCGGCGATGGGGTTGGCGACTGTGAGAGGAGGGAGAGGGACTTCAACAAAGAAGATGACTGTCTCGGCCATCATGTAGGAGAGTTCAGAGAAGGAGAGAGGGTGGTTGAAGGAGGAGAAGACGACGACAAGCTCGGAGGCAGGAGATATTGTCATTGCCGTCGAAGTTGAACTTGTTGATGATGCGCTCGAGGTTGGTGGTAGCGGAGGGAGAGAACATGATTGAAGGAGAGGATCGAAGAGAGGACGATGCTCTAAAGAGAGGGTTAAGTTAGGAGGAGGAGAGTTGAGTGAGGGCAAGAAAGGGAGGAGGAAGGTTGAGTCAAGACAAAAGAGGAAGAGGGTTGAGTTGGGAGGGGGAAGAGAGGGGAGATCTAGCCATGGCTCTGGATTCCATTGAGAGAGATTGCAATTATGAGGGGTAAAGTGGGATTATTTTGGGCTTTTTTTTCTCTCTTCTTAGCTGGTATAGAATTACGGGCTGATACACATTTTGGCAATGTATTGAGGGATTATGCACAATGGAAATTTTACAAAGGGCTGGGTCACATGAAGTTTTTTTGGACCTTGACACAATTTTCCTTTTATATTTGTTTGATTTAAAAAAAATTATAACTGCTCTATGAATTATAGTATAACGCGCTTTAAGCATCTGGAGCCTGATTGTTAGATTATACATTATTTGTTTTTTCATTGTTGGTAGAGTTCATAAACCTTGTATTCATTATCTCATGGACTCAGCCCATTTTGCTTTTGGTGAGTTCCTCTTGATATCGAGGAACCAACTTCTCAGATTCTATAGTTGGTTGTAAATTTACGTTGCGTGCTTAACCTACATGCAGCTGGTGTGCGTGAAGCAAAGGTCAGAGTAAAATCTACTATTCTTGAAAAAGTTCAACAAGATGGAGGTATCATATATTCATATTCATTCTGAAAAACTAAATAAGAAAATATTGGAATAGACAGAACTTTACTGTACTTAGTCTCCTCAGCAGTTAAAAGATAAATTCTGTAGCCTTTGTGCTCCTACTTTGGTCACACTTATTATGCATTTCTTTGTTTTCTGACAGTGAACAAGCTATCTTTTGACATTTTGCAATTTTTTTCTTATTAATTTTCCTTTTATATATTTCTCATGTAGTTCCACTGGAATTTTCTTTTGGTTGCCATTAAGATGCGATTCTGCCTGTTATTTGCACTGTATTTGACATTTTATACTTTTCACATCTTAAGTGATGTGAAATGTTCTAATTGTCTGATGTTATGGCAATATTTCTTTTTCTTCATGACAATATATTATATGCTGTTTTTTTTTACCTTTTTCTATTGCGTCATTTTACTTCAAATTGATTGATCAGACGTATAACATCGTGCGCTTTATTGGCTACAGATTTGAATCTGGAACTTCTGCAATTGCACAAGCGATAGGGTTGGGTGCAGCGATTGATTATTTATCGAGAATTGGAATGCAGAGAATCCAAGATTATGAGGTGAATAAACCTGGTTGTTGTTACTTATATAAACCAACATTGAATGAACTAGAATTTTTTTTGTGATATTCATTTATCATTATGATGAAGCATAACAGCCTAATGGATCAATCTACCGTTATTAGTTGCATCACCTAGTCTTGTATGAAATTGTTATGTTTATAGCTACGGAAATTTCTAAATCGTTAAATTACTGGTTAGTGGTTACTAAATATAGACGTCATACTGATTTAGCAAGCTTAATGCATATGTAGATTTTTGTGATTTTTGTTACTAGGTTTAATAAATTGGCTGTCACATAGAGTATGTAATTGGTATATCTTAACCAATAACAGGTTGCAACTGTGAACTGAAATCAGCTGGTCTGGGATAGAAAAGACCTGTGTATAGAACCAAGTCAGTTGGATGGAGTAGAGGTCCTTCATCTCAATATTTTTTCGAGGGTATCTTGCTACAATGTGATATGCTCTTCAGAGCCAATATAGGCTGGTCTGGTAAAGATCAATTTATGGGACCAATTCCGTTTACATGAAGGTGCTCGGAAATCATTCTATGCCAAGTGGGAAAAGTAAAGGGTGAAATTCATAGAAGTATCATAAACCATTAGGGGTTTTTCCAGAAACTATTGTTAACAATTTTTTATTAGAGAAAGTGCCGCAAATTTCTAAACTACAGAAGAAACCACAGAGCTGACAACAACGTTAAATAGCATTGGTAAAAAGTATAAAAAGTAAAGGGTGAATTTCATAGAAGTATCATAAACCATTAGGGGTTTTTCCAGAAACTATTGTTAACAATTTTTTATTAGAGAAAGTGCCGCAAATTTCTAAACTACAGAAGAAACCACAAAGCTGACAACAACGTTAAGGGGCTGTTCGTTTCGCAAAAAAAATTGGGAAATCAAAGAATAGAAAACCTATTTCCTATAATAATTGTTTTGAGGTTGTTTGGTTGGCTTAAAAAAGAAGAAAACTATAGAATAGGAGATGAGATGAGATGAGTTGTCACCTTATTATTGGATGATGTGAGTGATTTTTAAAAAAAACTTGTTTTGAGGTTGTTTGGTTGGTTAAAAAAATAAGGAAATGAATTGGAGGTATATTATTGGATGATGTTTTGAGGTTGTTTGTGTTTGGTTCATTTATAAAAATAAGAAAATAAATGAGATGAGATGAGTTGGAGGTATATTATTGGATGATGTGACACATACTTAAGGAAATCAATCTCTTGTTTTTTTTTTTTGAGGAATTGGATAGAAAGGAAGGTTTAATGAGATGAGATGAGTTGTCACAATATTATTGGATGATGTGTGTGATTTTTAAAAAGATGAGTTGTCACAATATTATTGGATGATGTGTGTGATTTTTAAAAATGAGATAAGATGAGATGTGATGAGTTGGATGATGTGACACATTTCTTGTGTTTGGTTTATTTTTAAAGGTAAGAAATGAGATGAAATGAGATGAGTTGGAGGATAAAAATATTATTTTATTGGATGTTGTGGGTGAGTTTTAGGGATGAAAATGGATAAAAATATTATTTTATTGGTTTCCTTGTACCGATTTCCTTTTCTTGGTTTTTAGGAAACCAACCAAACGGCCCCTAAATAGCATTGGTAAAAAGTATAAAATACCATGATAGTTGAGGACAAGGTGGGAGGGTAAATTCACAAATCTAGCATGGCCTATTGGGCGTTTTGCATAAAAATACCATAAACTGTTAATTAGAGAGAAACACCACACTTTGTCCTCGAAGCTGCCTTAAATGGTAGACATTAATGTCGATTTACACATGAAGTTGACAAGACAATTTCCCCTTTATTTTATGAATTCTCTCATTTTCTCCTCCTTAACTATTAGAGATATTTTAGACCTTTTAACGACATGGACACCATCAGAATAATATTTTGGTAAGATCTTTTTATACTGATTTGAATTGTTTTGGTTTCTTTCAAAGAAATAAGTCGGTTGTAGTTTTCTCGAAAACCCAGTAATTCATGGTAGTTTCATAAAATTTACCTAGTAAGTGTAGAAAATTCAAACTATGTCATGTGTATATCACATGCCAACTTACACGTCATTTGTCGTACTTGGTATTTTAGTGAAAAATTCTATGATATTTTTTATAATAAAAATACTGACTTTTTGTGCAACATCTCTAATATGGAGTAGTCTGTGAAATTTACAAAAACTAAAACATAGGAGATAACCCCTCAGCAACACCCCCAAATCTTGGCGCACCTTTCTTGTGAAATGCTGAATAATACCACATGAATACAAGCACTATCTCAATTCAAAATTATTCATGCTTGTTTTCCTTTGTTAACTACTAGCTGTAATGTATGGAGTTAAATGCTGCTGGATAGAAGACTTTAATTAAATATTTTAAGGAATTATACGTCATCAATGGAGGAATAGAGATTTCATAGCTAGTAGTATGCAAGAATAGACAAACCATCAATACTTTTATCTTTGGTGAGAACAGACGCAATTTATGATTACTTGCTATAGGCGGATGGGAAGAGGTGGAAAAATTACATCCATGTTGAGCTAGATTAATATCCTTTGCAAGGCATGATGTACACTTGAGATTTCATCGCCACATAGAAATATTGTCCTGCTTTCCAACTCCTACTCATTAATTTAAAAAAAATATAGGGAATAAGGATTAACATTATTCCATTTATGTATGAATACAACACACCATTGTCATTCTGCCTCACCACTTAGTGGGTTACATTGATCCTATCATGTATTCAGAGAAGAGCAGTACATGTGTATACATGAGTACTGGAACATGTGTAAATATTACTGCAATAACATGAGAATCATCAGTAAGTAACTGAGGTGTTTTGAGTGTGTAATTAATATTATGTAACATTTAGAGACACGAGCAGAAGGTGGAAGTTAGAAGTAACATTTTGCGTTGTAGATGAAAAGCAGCTAAGCGAGCATGCTACTTGACTGAAACTAGAGGTTGGGTGGGGACAAGCTTATCAATAGCAGTACAGCCACAACAACCATACCGATAGAATAAAGGACTGCTCAGCACTCTAGCAATTGTGATAATGCATTTCAAGTTTTAAAATAGAAAATTTGCCAGAATGTTCAGCTTCTAGTCAAACCAATGTTCGTGTTACACTTCAATATTGATTTGAATATAAAATTCACATAGGGGTGTTATTCACTCAGGATTGTTCAGTAAGATTTGGATTGTTGCCCAATAATCCTATATTCTAGGATTTAGATTTGAACTAGGATATTTTGGTTAGAGTACTGGACTTTTGGAAGGATTTTTAAACTTTTGAGTGGATTCTTGGACTAGGTGTTAAATAGCCATTAACAAACATAATAATTATTTTATAAAAGAATATAACTATTATTCAATTAATATTTTTCTATAATGGTTAATAAATTTTATCTTAATTTTCTGTAGTTACAATTTAAGATCAAATTTTACTATTAATATATATATTTAAATATATAAACGTTTAAGTATAATAGAAAATTTTGCCAAACATTGAATGTAAATATGAAATTATTTAATATTTAATATTTTTATTATTTAATATATTGAATATTACTTATTTGCTATATTTCTTATCTAATATGTAAATAAATATTAAAAATATAAATTGAGATGAATATTAAGTATATGTTTAATATCTAATCTGTAATAAATTATTTTATATATGATAAAAAATTAATATATCTAATATCAAATATATTAGACTATTCATAAATGTTAAAGCTACAAATGATTAAATAATATAAAATATTAAAGAATATATAAGTTTTAAATTATTAAATGTATTTAAAGAATCTTATGACAAAGTATTTAAAATTAAATAAATTTAATATGAAATATGTCAAATAACTAAAAATAATTAAGCCATCTAATATTTAATATTCTCTTAGTTAATTTTAAATATTACTTACATTTAACATTTACATATTTACTATATTTCTTATCTAATGTTTAAACAAAAGTTATGTATAGTTAATATTAGTATTAAATAATTTTGTATATTCAAGTATGTTAGATAATAAATTTAGTTAATATCAAAACTGAATATATTATAGTACATATATTGAAATATTAATATAAAAATGATTACATAATATTAATTATTAGTGATATTTTATTATATAACTATGGAATATTAAATGTTAATAGTTAATACAATAAATGTTTTCTAAATATTAGTTGGTGTTTTTTTTAATATGGGCATATCAAAGGAAGGGGAAACGAAAATCCAAGGAGGGAGATCACAGTCCATTAATTTTTACTTGGACTTTTTTTGAAATTTTCTCACTATATTGCATAGGGTAGGATTAGGGGTGGTAAATGATCGAATCGAATCGAATACTAAGTTGTTCATATTTGTATTTGTTTAAAATTATCGAATTCGAATGCGGACTCTATTATTCATATATCTAGTTTTTCGAATTTGAACTCGAATACTTGGTATTTGATAAATATTCATGAATATTCACGAATACTTATCGAATATCAAAGTATATTTATTTCGTTAAAGAGTTTAATTTTCAAATAGTATTAAAATTTATAAATTAAAATTATTTCTTTATAATATATGATGTATATATATTTAAATCAAAATTTTAATTAGAAAACAGATTTAAGATTATTTAAGTCTTAAAATCTATATATAAAACTTAAGTAGAAATGGTAAGTGGGTTAAAAATATGACATCATATGTGTAATAATACAAATAATAAATTGTGATCAAATTTTAAACGAATATTTAATAGACAAACGAATCGAATATACATCTGGTTAAATTCTATTTGTTAATAAACTCGAATACTAAAAAATATTTGTTTAGTGATAAATGAACTATCGAATCGAATATGACCGAATAGTTATTCAAACAATTATCGAACCATTTATTAATTATTTGGTTCATTTCCACCCCTAGGTAGGATCGAGATTTGGATTTTGAAATCCTAGTCCTAATCATAACCCTAAATAATCAATAACACTATAAAGTTAAATCCAAATCCCTAATCCTAAGCCAATAGCATCTTAAAAAAATCCAAATCCTATTCATAAGCCAATAACAACTTAAAGTTAAATCCTAGAAAAAGTCCTAGTCCTTAGAACTTCATGCATAATCATGTTCCTTCGTATTTGGGACTTAAATTTGAACTTCCTATATGCAGAGTCAGAGGCTTTTTTATAATTAAAATGAAGGTACATCAAGTGTAACTGACTTATGGCTTGTGTTGATTGTGCATGGGGATCAATAGTAAATTGTGAAGGTTTTTTGCTCATAACTTTTTAAGAAATTCTCCCTTTTAAGGTGGCACTTCATGCGTGCTTTCTTCTCCAAGTGGTGCTGTTTCTGTCTAGCCTCTGCTTTATTCAAGTTGCCTCTCTCCTGCTTTGTTCTTTTGTTTCTTAAGGTGTAGCATATGTGTTTTTTTTATACTTAAAGAAATTTAATTCAATTAAAACTACTGAATACCATAAAATAGATGTGAAACTTCCTCATAAAATTAAATCTAAGCATTACAATAATATTGCAAATAAAGGAAAACAAAGATACTGGATCCAAACCCAAGTAGATCTTTAGGGAGATTCAGTTCTGCGTCAAATCTTGAAAAACGAACCATAGTCTGTGTGCTTAGAAGACAGTGAAATCCTATGCTATGAAGCAATCAGTTTGTAAATTACGGCTTCATATAATTTGCTGTGATGCTTAATAGCGAGTTCAACTTCTAATTCTGGAGTCTTGACTGTTCTGAATGGAGTTGACATCTATTAGTTTCATGTTTGAGGACCCCATTTGTTATTTTGAGGTGAAGTGGTCAAAACTTAAAAGCCTTAGTAATAAAATTATCTCGTAAAATGGTTGTTATGATGAATCCTATATTGTCATGTCTGTTACTTGATCTTAAAAGAACGATAGATATATGTTGATTTTAGTGACTATCCAGATATTATAGTTCTTTTAGTAATGTATAATCTCCTTACTTATTATTCCAGGAGGAACTAGGGAACTATCTGTATCACAGCCTCCTTTCTATTCCAAATGTGCGCATTTATGGTCCCTCTCCCTCAAAAACAGTGCACCGTGGTGCTCTTTGTTCTTTCAATGTTGAGAATATACATCCAACAGATATTGCAACTCTTCTTGATGAACAGGTATGAAAACAACTTAAGTACTGCAATAATTTCTTATTCTCATTTGTGACGTTGTTATCTGATGGAGCGATTTCCAGTTTCCTCTAGGTAGTCCCTATATTGGGGGCTTGCAGTTGCAGGCATACATGTATATATGTGTGCGCACATGCATGCGCTTGCAAAAGAGCGGCATAAACATCATGACAGACGCATGTCTTAAACGTGGGATAGATCAGAAAATTGGTCAAGGCAATGATGGTGGTTGGATGGATAACATCAAATTACAAAACTAACCAAATGACTAATTCAATATTCATTAAATGACAACATTAACCATAACTAAATTATCTACTAAAATTTAGATCCTAACAGATCTCTTTAATTGCAGCTGCAACATTTGAAACTTCTTTTCTTGAATCAACCCTTGTTACGGAAAATTCAATATTGAGTTTTAAAGTCATATGCCGAATTTGTTTAACTTGAGGTCTTGAAGAAATATTTGCCACTTGGTCATGATGTCGGCAAAATGTTGGCTCTTCATGATAATTGCTTATCTGAAACCAATTGGGGATCCTCTGGGCTCCATTGCCAATATAATCATTTTATGATTACTTTGTCAACAGTTAAAACATCAGGTGTCCTTTTTCCCAAAAGAAAAAAAAAACCTGATATTCTTTGCGGCCTAGTTTTAATAATTGATGCTTGCAGCATTTCTGTAATGTAGAATATATTTTGGTAGCTAAAAGTACAGGAGGAGGACATATAAGGTATATGGTAAATATGAGCATTAGCAACTCCGTAGTTGATTCATTTAACATTGGCAGTTCATTATAACTCTTATTGCACGTTGTAGAATGTTAAAAATGAGAAGAAAAAAAACAGCTTTCTTGGAAACACTTACTTTGAGAATCAAGCTATCATATTTTTGCGACTTTTTGTTTTATAGCTTAATTCTTATTGTTTTGGTTGAATTTTTCTTTTTAGCATGGTGTGGCTATTCGCTCTGGTCACCATTGTGCTCAACCTCTCCATCGCTATTTGGGTATCAACGCAAGCGCTCGTGCAAGCCTTTACATTTACAACACCAAAGAAGAGGTGGATATCTTCATTGAAGCACTTAAAGACGCAATCAGTTTTTTCAGTTCCTACATGTAGTATTTCTTTCTTTTCCTCTTTGTAACATTGTTTTTTATGCAACATTTTTTTGATATCTCGATCAATTTCCTCTTTTAAAAAAAATTCAGAGTGTACAATACGAGACTGTAAATAACAAATATGCTTGTTGATTACTGCCGTTGGCCCTTTGGAGGCTAATTTATTAGAAAGATGAAAATCACTTATTAAATAAATTTGATTATATTGGTTCTTCCCCAAAAGTAATATCTGCTTGATGTTATTGGTCATGGGCAAGTACAAGTAATTGATACACATTTAGGGTTGCTCGTCCAGGGTTTGAAGCTCACCGCTCATTTTGAACTATATGCTTAATTGCACTTTGGTACCCAAGTTCACCCACTTTTGAGTTTGATGCCCGAAAGTAAAATTTTAATTCTGCGATACCTTTAAGTTTCAATCCATTCCATTTTGACACCCCAAATTATTCCTTTTAACGCTTCACTACTTCAAAATTTCAATCATGTTTCACTTTGATGCCTCTGTCTACGCCCTGCAGATTATCTTTTAAATTTGTATAACATGCTTAGCAACTGGAAAAATGGATCAAAAATGTATCAAACGCTAAAGGCATTATATAAATTTAACGGAAAACCTGACATAACTTGGACAGCGTACCAAAGTGAAATGTGAATGAAACCTTAGGGTATCAAAGTGTTAAATAAACATTTTAGAGTATTAAAGTGAAATAGCACTGAAAGTTGTGGGCATCAAAGTGAAAAAATGAGTAAACTCTTTGGTACTAAAGTGAAAATAAGCGAAAACTATATATTGAAAGCTTGTAGGTTTTTTTGTAAAGGGGAATGTGCCGACAGAAGCTTTGCTTTTGAAAACTTACCTGCGTTATCTAACGATTGCAAAAATAATTGTTTGATGAACTATAAAAATACATACAAGATGGGTTTGCTAAGAAATGTCATAATGCGTATCTTTATTTGTATAATGCGCGCAAAGTAATGGTTGGATCTCTGGTCTTCGCAGTTTTGGCAGGCTGTAGACAATTCTTGAGGGCAGAAATCAATTTGTTGAAATTTCTTCCACGGGGAAGTTTTAACTCTAGCAATACTTTCTGTACTTTCTGTATTAGCCCCTTAAATCTTCATTTTCTGATATTAGCTCCTCAAATAGCTATAATATGTTGATATGAGCCCCTATGGTTAGGTTCATATTTTGATATTAGCCCCTCAAATAGCCAAGATGTGTTGATATGATCTCCATATTTTTAAAACGTTATAGCAACTTGAGGGGCTAATATCAACATATGGAGATTTAAGGGGCTAATATCATATTACGTTCAATTTAAGGGGTTAGCATCTAAAAAGATCCACAGGAAAGGTAACTCCTACATCAATTCCTATACCACCCATTTCAATATAAGAAAAACAAAGTTTCAAACCAAACAAAGTTTCAAACTAAAACTCTCAATTATCTGAAATTGATCTTTTGCATTTTGTACATCTACTATGATTGCCAACTTGAGTTCTATGTGCATATGAAACTATCTAGTTACTGAATAGTAATCTCTCCCATTCAATTTGTGTGACGCCTACACCACTGAAAACACAACTTTTATGACTGAGCGAACATTATTAGAACTGTCAAACACACGTCATCCATGATTTGGGCCTCCATCTCATAAGTTTAAAGAAAAAGTGTAGTCATGACTAAATTCAGTGATTTCCATAATCCAACCGTCTACATTACTTGCGAGTTCACTGGGTCGGAGTGTTGCTGATGAAAATAAACCATGTAGATACATAAATCTTTCCAACACATCAAACAATCATTTAAAATCAGAGAAAATTTTACATAATGGCTCAATAATTTCTCAAAAATAAAAATGTTTTCCCTATGCAATTAAATGATTCAGGTCTGTAATCTTCAAAGCTAAATAAACAAATGGATTCATAGGCTCAACCATATGTACCGCTAACTGCTGGAAATGACGAGGATTTAACGCAACGAAGGTGCATCTCTCAGACACAAAAACGTTGCTAACCACAAGAACTAGTTAAAAGGATATACAAATCAGACATTATTGTAGTAAATAAATCAGATTACTCAAAAGTGTAAAGTTGATCTAGAACTGTATCTGAATTATGCAGAGGATCGAGACTGACGAAAGAGAATACTCTATATATATACCGTTTCTACCACAGCTTCACATGAATACTAATACTCATACGACAATGATACGCGACAGACCGATAAAAGAGATGAATGCATGCATCTCCTCATTGAACTCTAACTAGAGTTCTTCATGGGAAATAGAACTCCCCGCATTACTCTTCACCTTTACATTATGAACAGATATCATGCTCGAAGTCGCAGGTGATTTGGAGAGAACAACAGCATACCCATCATCCATGTGATCTGTTCCTTCAGGGAAGAGCTGCCAAAAAAGGCATCCTCCACCACTCCCGCCTTGCTTCCGAGATTTTAACAAGGTGTTGTAGACTGTATTCATGAATACTTCTTGGAACTTTGAAGCGAACCTCTTATCTTTCGACGATACACCAAACTCTCCAAACACGACTGGCATATTGAGCGTCTTCTCGGCATCATCCATGTGCTCTTCCATCCAATTCTTCACAAATACAAGATGTGTGCCAGAGATAGAGTCTGATAACCTTCATGGAAAATAAATGATTATATAGTGTGAGCATAAAATGATAACTCTCAACTCTCACCGAAACTTCGGAGCTGTGGTGCAGTGGCAAGTACATTGATATGGTACTAGAGCAATCTAGGTTCAAATCTCATAGGTCTAAGCAGATTTAAAGGAAAAAAATCCCTACATGAGTGCATGTTTTGGGCCCAAGAAAAGGGCGCTCAGCCTTCAAGGGAATGTTAAGAGTATAAAATTGTTAGAATTAATATAAAACTATAATCCTCGATCATTACCATAACTTCGGAGTTTTGGTGTAATGGTTAGAGGAACTAAATTTAAGATGGTATCAGAGCAACCCAGGTTCAAATCCCACCGGCCACGAATTAAATGCGGATTTTCTAAAAATTAACACCGCTACGTGAGTCCAGGTTTTGACCCATAAAAAAGGGCGCTCAACCTGCGGAGGCATGTTAGAATTAATATAAAACTATAATCATCAATCCTTACAATAACTTTGGAGTTTTAGTCTAATGGTTAGAGGAACTAAATTTAAGAAAAATAACAATCCTCAATCCTCGCTACAACTTTGAAGTTTTGGTGCCATGGCAAGGTCCTTTTCCATATGGGAAATATATAACTTGCATATAAGTAGAAGCCTGACATGTAAGAGCTTGGAGAGATTGGACGTACCAAGAATCTGTGTAGATGTGCACAGAAGCAAAATCAATGCCTGGAGTTTGATGATTTCTGATGAAATCGGTTCCAAATTGATTGAAGCAGCTCTTGGGGTTAAGGTGCACCCTTTCAGGAGTGGAAGGGCCATAGAAACCTTCAGCACCGATCTCTAGCAGGTGATTTGGATCGATGGACTTGACGTAAGATGCCATTTCCTCTATCCAAGACTGAGAATGAACAAATATCCAGTTCAGTAAGGTTGCTATTAATTCATAAAAACAAAACATGACAAATTTCATGAAGGATTTGCGTGAATGGTGTTGAGAAATAAGCCAAGGAAGCTCTACATATGGGTATAATTTGAATTGTTCAAAAAAAAAAGAACAAGCAGAACATATATCTATTTGTACAAGATAAGAGAATTAAATAGGCAAAGGAAAATGATCTAGACATATAAATGAATGTATTGGGATGCAAAATGTCATAAATAAAACCGCAAGACAACACGAGGGCCAATAGGTATGAAAGGAAGAAAATAAGCTAAAAGAAGTTTTGAATCATAAGATGACACAATTGGTGAAAAATGATGATATTGGAATAACATGAAAGTATTCAATCATGTTGGTTACACCTATATAAGATTTAGAATACACACACACACACACACACCTTTTTCAATAGTAGTACCTTAAATCTTTCATATTTTGAAATTATTCTATCAAATCATAGAAACTGCTATTAGGTCCCCGAATTCTTAAGTTCTTTTGAAACTAGTTCCTCAAATCATTGAAAGTTATATTAGGTCCCCCAGTTCTTAAGTTAATTTGAAATTACTCCCACCAATCAAGAAGAGAAGTAGCAACTAGAGGGATTAATTTGAAACAACTTATGAGAATTAGGGGACCTAATAGCAGTTTCAATCATTTGAGGGATTAATTTCAAAATATAAAACATATAAGGGACTAATATCCAAAAAAACCCAAAAGAAAAAGGAAACTGGAATCCATTTCAATCATTACAGAGGAATAAGACAATGAAGAAAATTAGTATAAAGAGGATTCACACCTGTAACATATCACCAGAAGGATCTGAGGGACATCGAGGCTCATTGATCAACTCCCAGGATAAAATTGTCGGATCATCCTTATACATCATTTTTGTAAGAGAATTGACCCTTGTCAGCACCATCTGTTCCCATTAGTTCAAATAGTGAGAAAATAGAAGCAATTGTTGAATTTTGCAAATTTGTTTCAGATGATCGATACCAAATATGCTTGAAGTTTAAAAGGCTTTTCAGCCTTTGTTTGAGGTGATAAAAACTTATGTAATTCCAAATACGTTCAAACTTTATTGAACTGGAATTACAGATGCTTGAAGGTTTTTGATCTTCCGCGTTTATTTTAACTCGATTCGCGAACAAGCTAGGATTAAGAGTAACTGCAGCGATATGATTCTATGATCTCACTTGAGTAACTGACCTTGAAACTATATAATCCCACTATCAACAGTTGTGCAGCGAGAAGATATGAAACGTTTAGGGTTTTGGGGGTTTAGTCCCTTAAATCTTTCATATTTTGAAATCAGTCCCTCAAATCATGGAAATTGCTGTAAGGTCCCTCAAATCATGGAAATTGCTGTAAGGTCCCTCAAATCTTAAGTTATTTTAAAATGCTTCCCTCAAACCACAAAAATTGCTATTATGTCCCCTAAATTTTAAGTTACTTTGAAAGTAATCCCTCAAACCAAGAGTGAAAGTAGCAAATAGAGGCAAATGAGTCACTTAAAATCATTGAAACTTCTATTAGATTCCCAAATTCTCATAAGTTGTTTGAAGTTAACCCCTCTGATTCCTACTTCTACTGAATGGAGAAACTAATTTCAAAATAACTTAAGATTTGAGGGATCTAATAGCAATTTCAATGATTTGAGGGACTACTTTCAAAATTAAAAGAGTTAAGGGACTAATACCCCAAAACCCCAAAAATTAATGAAAAGAATATGTGCTTTTGCACACTAAGGTTGGCTTGAAAGAGTAAACTTTATATTTTCTCACAGATCACTTTAAATTCACAAGCACTCATGCCATCCTGGAATCTAATGTTGGTAATTTATCAACTGATATCACAAGATATTTAATATTTGTGAATCAACAATGTCACATTCTCAGTTAGCATATATTGGGTGGCTGGTATCTCAAACTACATGCAGGTAGTTTTCCAAGTCTGTTATACTTTACCGAAATACCACTCTTAATGTGAACTTGAAGTTTACCAGGATATAAATCTCACAATCTCAAAAATCATTGTCATAGATACTTTTTACAAGTAATTTATGGAGAAACTGCATAATAAACATGTGTAATGATTAAAGATTAGAAATGAGGCCATGCTAGTTCTTGTATCCATATTATTTAGGAGGTGCGTGATTGATGTCTGATAATGCATAAGGATCAAGTAAAGAAAGACTACTGGGGATTGGGATCGAGAAAAATTGTTAAAGAGAAAATTTCAATTATAACTTGCTAAGAATTGTACCAAGAGAAGTTATTAAGAATTTAAGAAATAGTAAATACCCTCTACAAATCAAAGTTGCATTGCAAGTCTAAAATTTGATACTTTCTTGACTTAGTGAAATTTAAATTTCAATCGCATGCATTTGCACTCGTAATTTATCAACTGACCTTACAGGAAACTTAAGATTTATGAATGGATCATTCTCATAGTTTCAAATAAGAAATGACCAAAGAATACATTAGTGTTGAAAAAAATCATGACAATATGCAACAGAATCTAATATTGATGGTACATAATAGCAAGCAAGAAGGATACCATGACATGAGCTTTATAGTATTCTTTGATAGTCGGATCCTTGAAGAAATCATCTTCTCCGGTTAGATTCAGTCCAGCCTCCTTCCCCCATTTCACATATTGTGCTTTCCCTCCATATTCCTCCCAGTTGTTGCACAATGATAGTATCAACCTTACTTTATGCTTTTTTGCTTCGCTTACTACAAAATCCAGCCCCTAGTACCGAAAAATAAATAGGGTCATTTTGATATTAGTCACTCAAATCTTTCCTATTCTGAGAGTGGCCCCCCTAAATCATTGAAATTGCTATTAGGTCCCTCAAATAGTATAAGTTTTCTGAAATCAGTTCCCTTAGTTAGCAAATTTACTTAACTTTTCGGGGTGGAATGCCAGCTGTACCCTTTCTAATGGAAAGCCAAACCTGAGTCGGGGCGACAGAGAGGGAAATCTATCTTCTCTTTCTCAGAAGATGAAGCAAGAGCTAGTGAGAGGGAAACTGACGTCTGGAGGCAGGAGTTAATAAGTGAGTGTAGTTTGGTAAATTATCCATCCATAGCGAAGCATCAACCCAACCATATTTAACAGATTGGATGGGTTTTGTAAAAGAAGCACTACTTTCAAACATCTTATATGATCTGAGGGAGCTAACAGCAATTTCAACGATTTGAGGGACTAATATAGAAATAACCTAGATAAATAACAACAGATGCAGCATTATCAGCTCTCAGCAGTGCACAACTTGTTTTCATATCAGCAATCCATCAAACACATAGAGTGCAACAAAAAGTGACCTTTTACCTTGAAGACTTCTTCATCATATTCGCCCGGAGATATCTGAAGCGCTCGATACCCAGCATCATTGAAAGCCCAGGTCCTGCATACATTGAGACCGACCGCCGAGGCCTGACGAAGAACATCCCTGACCTTTCCCCTGGTCTCTTCATCAACTGAGAAATCCATCAGCCAGTAAGTATTGAACCCATTCACATAAAATGGTTGCCCATCTAATGCGAACTGTGTTCCTCTCTTTTGCACAAAACCCCACTCCTCATCACTCATCATCTCGTGATCATGATGATTCAATGAATGCGTCCTGATCAAATACAGAAAAAGCCCAACAATCAATAAGCAAGAATTGACATGGGTCTTTGAATTCCCAGTGAGAAACATGAGAAATATCTCTCTCTACATCGTAATGCAAAACTAAAATAATGGCATCAATAATA